CTATGGTAGGCAAGGATGTTAGCTCACATCTTCTGTCTGCACATTTTGAACACTAACTTCAAATGCTGCTAACTCCTTCCCTAATAATCATGTTCTTGGTTATTACTTTTAAATAATAGAAAGGATTATTTCCAACTTTGACTTGTAAATAACCTGCACATATGGTTCAATTGTTACTAAATTATCATTATATAAAAACTAGTCATGAGACTTGCTACATGATAAATAACTGTGTAGGGTATCCTTTTGCATACCCATTGACTGCTTCTGATATCAGTACATACGGTACATCCCAAAAGGTGTCTAAGACTTATTGATATATAAAGACTATCACTTATAGGATGTATCAATGCCCTGCAGCAAGGAAGCAAATGTAGTATGTCAGAGTGAAGTTAAATTTATTTTATATATGTGTCCTTCATGTAGTGCTTACATAATTAATTCCTATACACACAGATACATGGGATTTGCTGCACCTGTACTTCTGGTCAGGGCAGTAAATTCAACAGACTTAGCGTATACCACATATATTAAGTATGTTCAAGTCTTCATGCAATAGATATATTGGAAAGTACACACAGACTTCTTTGAGGAAATCTCAAGCAGAAATATGGGAGCCCTTGCTTATTTACTGATGAGGTAGAACTTTGATTTTGAAAATGTCAGATAGTGATAAATAAATAAAACCTCCTGTGAACAATAGCAAAATGTGCAAGATCCACTCCTGACATGCAAGTATATGCTTTTGAAAAGACAATCTGTATTTGCCTTTCCGAAGCTTGCAAGTAATTAAAGACTTACTTCAACTTAATGATAGCATTCACAACCTACAAGGAATGTTTTTATCGGTTGGGTGAGGATACCTTTTCCTTCTGTTCCAGGATCCTTCAACTTAAAACTATTTTTATTCCAGTTAATTAGAGTAATTCATTGAAACTTAGAAACAAACAACTCGTATAAAGACCTAAGGGCAAAAAAAAATAATAATGGTATCCACACTCTCTAGCATGTCACGGTCAAGATACAATGAATTAACATCTTCTTAAAACTGCAGACAGTATTTTATGCAAGAAATAAAAGGTAAACTCTGTGTCTGCTCATAAAAATGACACTCTCTTAATACAACCTATATAGAAAGAAGGCTGACAGTTATTTATCCAGCGGCCAGGGCCTTCCACTGTTAGCCACGTCTGATGCAGTTAGGGTGCTGTTGCAATTTTCTGCGTGTAATCTTCTACCTTTTCAGCAACATACATATTATATCTTAGGGATGACAAATAACAAACCCTGATGCACTGAAACAAGATCAAATACATGTCAAATAGCCATAACAGAAGATTGTTTAATCTGTTTTTCAACACTTCTAAGAAGGAGACTCCGTAAGAAAAAACTTTTTTGTTTAAAGACCCTTAGAGGTGTCAACTTAACTAACTGTCCTTGCCTACAGTTCCTATTGTTCTTCTACCAAGGGAGAAGAAATATGTCTACTACCATAATCATTATGACTTTTTGCACAATTGAAAACTGCTACCATATCTCCCCCATTCTATTCAGTCTTCTATTTCCTAGTTTTAAATAGGTCACGTTCTTTCAACCATTCCATGTAAATTATGATTCCCAAAGTCCTTTTCAGTCTCACCACTGTTCTGTGTATCTTCTCCAATCTGCAGTGGTAACACTCAGGAAACAGTACTCAAGTGAGGCTTTCCAAGAACCACATGACTAATCAACTCTCTTGTCTTCTTTATTAGATGTCCAGCAATATATGACAGAACAAGCTTTGCCTTTCTTCATTATACTGTTAATTTCTATTTGTTCCCTGACCCACGTTTGATTTCTGATTATTCTTCCCATTAGTCAAGATCATTTTTAATCATGATCCTGCCTTGTCAAACACTTGCTACATCTGCACTCACTGGTTGGTCAGCTGGTTGGTTAATTCATTTATTTATTGCCTCATTATTTTCAAAGTAGTTATAAAAATGTTCTGTATGGTTTGTTCTGGTGTCCTACGGGCTATTAAAGTGAGATTGTTTTAGTGTTCCTTGGGTTCTCTATCTTCTTTTTCATCTGAAAACATTGAATGCCCTCACAGCAAGAACATAGAAACTCTGGATTCTAGCATGAGTTCCAATGACCAGACTTTTGCATAAATAAAAAGGAGCTGTTTCTTTTCAGCCAGGTATTCATACCTTAAAATAAGCAATGTCTAGTCCATTTTGAAGGGAGTATTGTCCTGTTGCTATTTGTTGATTTGTATGCAGGAGACAAATTCCAGAGCACAGAGAAGTAGTACTTGACAGGTACAAAAGGAGATCAGAAATATGTTCAGGACTTCCCAAAGTGCAATGGATAAGTTAAGCATGCACAAGTCTGAATGGAAGCTATGGAAGCATGGAAGCTATAAGACACAAAAAATCTAACTAAATAATAAAAATAATAAATAAATAAATAAATGCAAGGCATTAAAGCCTGAGATTTAATGACAAACAAGACAAGAAGCATGTTAGGCACCTCCAGGTGTAGGCAGCAGCTGAATGTGAACCTTCAGTTTGGTATTCAGTTTTGTTCAGTCCTGTTGTCGGTGAATAAAGATGGGTAATTTATCACACCGAACACCTCCAGAGTCAAATAAATCATGCTTTCATAGAAGAACAAGCAACAGCACGGTTGGAGTATACTCTGAAGTTAACTTGCTTTTATCTGTTAATTGTACTACTCAAATATCTCTTGACATTGGAGGCACTAAAGTGCTGGAAACACTTGCATTCATTTTCCTTCCTTGAAATGACACCTTTAATATAATTAATTCATTTATTTAATTGATGAATTCATTTCTACAAAGTTAAACTTCAGTGGACGTTTGGACATTCATGTTTTAAAATACAGTGTATGAAGAACATTTAAAAGCAGGAAAACTATTTAAGGATAACAAGGCTAAGATGCCAGTCAGCTCTGTAAAATCATTACAACTGCTTTCACGCTGTCCCTAGCATTTATACACAAATCATTCAAACAATTGGATTTTTGACAAAATTCAATTAACACTTTTATTAGTGTTAAAAATGTGTTAATTTTAATATGTTGATAATTAAATGCTTGGCTTATTATTCTGTAACACCAAGATATCCGTTCTTTCCTCACATACTCCTATTAATAATGATATTCAAGTTTTCAAAATACTCCAAGATCCATGTATAACATTACCATGAATTACTATACAAATTAAAAAGAATAACAAAATAAGTGAACATTAAAGCTGTTCAATATGCCAAAAGTATAAAATGACAAGAAAAGCCAGTGCATTAGGTTTCCCAAAAAACTTTGGTACTTACTGATATCTAAAATACCCCCCCCCCCCCCCCCATCTTATACAGGTTAATAATGGTGACCATGGACAATATTGATCATTTGGTAAAAGTTAGCTCAGGACTTTGTTCCTCCAGCATGTCATGTTCTTTCATCTATAACCCTTCATTATAAATCTAGGTTAAAATCTGATCCCTTAAGAAAAAAGATTTCTCCACCAAGGATATTTCTCTAATCTGAAATAAACTTTTAAAGATGGTTAGGTAGTCCAGCACAACCATAGATCATGAGGCAGGACTATCATGAGCAGTTAGTAATCTTTTAATTGCAGTCTGCTGGCAACTGAAGTAATAACAGAGAAGCATAAAGGATCCCCTTGCTCACACAACATAAAAGGTCATCAAATGCAGTCCATACATTTTTGCACTTTTGGACATTTTCAAAGCATATATTTAAATAAGAAATTTTTTAGCCATATATTAGAACATTCTTATTATGAATGCTTTTGTTGTTCTTTTGTTGATGTTTTTAACAGAAGGCTGCTTTTCTTCCTATTTTATCTTTTCTTTGTGTTTTGGTATTGTGCCTAATTCCATCGTGAGTTAGAAAGAAGAAGAGGTTAGTAGTACATCATCTATATTATAAAACATATTTAGATGAACAAGTTTTTCCGAATCACTAAGTAAAGAAAAACCACTTAGTAAAAATCACTTAGTAAAGAAAAAAGTAAGTTAACCAACCTGACTCAAAGTACATAATAGAAAGACCACATGCAAGAAACAGAGGTCAATTTTTTTCACCTTTTAATATTGTTCCAAGCCCTTGGTGCAACAAAAAGGACTAAATTAAATTCCTATTTATTACTATAGTGGGCATAAATAAAAGCATATAACTGAAAAATATGGGTGTAGAGACTGAACATATTAGAGTCAAGAAAGGTTTCTATATTAAACCTTAAGAATGGTATAGAGAGATTCAAACTATGAACTTGCATTTTACCATTTCTCTTTGACTGTTTATTTAATTGTTTTTATAACACAGAAACTTTGTCTTCTCACTAGTTTAAATAAAAGCTAAAGTATTGAACATCAGAGTGAGCAGGCAAACAGTGGAGGACATCATGTGAGTAAGCAGATGGATACTGAAAACTTGTGCAACATCACAGATGTCATACAGGCTCTATGGTTGCTGCTAAGATTTTGTAACTAATTAGATGCTTGAAAACAGTTAAAACCTAGTTTTCCTAGTTTTTCCAATTGTATAGCTAAATCACGGGAGGCATGGATGCCACTCAATTTATCCTGTCTCTAAGACACTTGCACGATGCTTAATGCACTTGTGTTCAAGTGTCAAAGATATAATCGGGATTGGTTTTTTGGTTTTTTTTTGTGAAAGACAAAAAAATGAGATCAAAAGTGAGTTAATACAAGAACCACAAGGTTCCCAGTCATCGGGCAGCTCAAGGTCAAATGAAGAAAGCAGTTTTTCGTCATGACTAAGAGGAGTGACCTTTAGGTCCTTCTTACACTTCAGTCTCTCCTTGGAGATAACCACTTACCTATTTCAATCATGTGAAAAAAAAACAGTAATGCTGTCACCATATAGTCTGACCAGGCTTCCTTGCACTTGGGGAAAGGTGCTAGCTCTGCCTTAGGCCACTTTCTTTCCCTCTCTGGTCCATTGGCTTGCTTTCTACCTTACCATGTTACTTGGATTACATGGACAGAGACTTCCTACAGCTTACTGGCTTTATGTACTCCTTTTATGTATGTATAAATTAATGTAACTTGGATGTATTGGACTCCAAAATGCAGTTCTAAAAAAATCTATAAGCTTTTCACAGTTTAAATCTTTTCTTAAGAGTCTGTGTACAGTTTGTTCAGATCACAGGTGTTGGAAATTGAGTTTGCCTAGAGAGGAAGTGAGAGTATAATGCATTTTTCATACCAGATGATAACATGGAATGTAGTCATGCAGAAATCACTCAGCTTCTTCTTAGAGACTTGATTTCAAAACACCATTAAGTAAAGCTGATTGTTTTGCCCAAACACTAACTTCATTACTTAAAAGTAATCTGCAAGGGAAATGGATGCTTCCTTTAATTCACTAAATGATTCGCCTTGTCGAAGTGTCAGATAAGACAAAGAACCTTTAAATCTCAGAAGAGCTTGCTCACAGAATGAAAGACAAGCCAGTTTTTGTTTTACTGATTTATTTGATCAAGAATGCCTGAGTCATGAGTAACTTGTGGCTGTTATAAACTTCAGTATAAAGCTCAAATTAAACACTCAGTTCTAATTTCACTGAATATTAAAACATCAGCAACAATTCATCAAACATAATGAAAGATGAAAATGAACAGGCAGTATAGGTCTATCAGAACAAAACAATTCCCCATGATGGTAGAGCTGGACCTATCTCCCAGAAGCTTGCAGCAGTGCCACATGGAATCTGGGAGGATCTGTACTTTCATACAGGCAAAACAGGCAAAGCCTAGCTGCATGTCTCTTTTTTATCTGTAAGTCAGATGAGAAATCTTAGCCATTGAATTATGTGTGAAAATTCTTTCCTACTAACGGTAACAGAAAACTTCATCATGGGAAAACACTATTTTCCCACCCACCCAAAAAAACTCTTTTTTTTCTCCTTCACATGGGCTCCCATTAGCTTACCATTACTGAAATCATGAGAAACAAATCACCCATATTTTGTGCATCTCATGCTAATTTTACAGGTCTACATGATGTCAAATCAGGTTTCATCCTATATAGACCGTGCTGAGACTGTCTAGTAATGACTGCTCTCTTATGTCATGTAATATAAAATATGAATGCACATAAATATATCTTGCCATTCCAGAATGTTTATAAATTCACCACAGTCCACAGCAAGCATAGCTACAGAAAGAGAAAGTGACTGTAATACTGTTTTCCTGTGGCTTCAGAGGCAACGAGACTGGTGAAACTTTTTACCCCTGCAAAACGCTTTTTTTTTTTTTCAGAGACCTTGATTGCCTTCAATGTAGCATGGTTCTACGGATGAAGATGATGCCTTAGTAGTGTTGGCTTTTGGGTATTTTTTATCACAGCTCACTGACTTGTGCCGCTGTATACGAGCTGCCAATCTCTCATCTTCAGCTTAAGTTCATACAGCCGTTCATAACCCAGCATGTCACTGCACAAATGCTGACATAGAGTAACAGCTTTCTGGGAGAAGCTGGTGATCAAAAAATCCACATCACTGCAGTAACCCTTTCAGGTCTTCAGCAGGATTCTCAGCCAGCTTTTATTGCTGGTGCCTACACTACTAATGATGTATCCTCTTACATGAATGTATGCAGAAATTATTCAGCCATAAATTTAAATTTGCATTTTTGAAAATAAATAAAATAAAATAAAATAAAATAAATAAAATAAAATAAAATAAAATAAAATAAAATAAAATAAAATAAAATAAAATAAAATATAAAATGCTTAGACTTTCTAAAAATAGTTAAAACCTCAGACAGGTTGAGATCTTTTGGAACAGGCTAGAGAGACATCTTTCAGGAAAAACATACCTAGCTGATCTTACCTTGAAACAAGGGATAGAGTGGATGATATCTTAAGGCCTCATCCAGCCTAATTTCCAACAATGCCATGAGTCTACTATCTTAACTCAGCATCTGGAAAATTCAGGATCAGGATCAGTCACTGCAAGGAAATGGGGGTTGGAGTGGGAGGATGGGTGGTAGGTGGAAACATTCCATCTCACCATGAGCCACATGAACCACAAGTTATGAATGAAAAGATCCTACCTGCAGAAGGATCAGGTACACCTGCAAGTAGGATTAAGTAAACTTAAGTACTCCAGGTGCTCAGAGAGAGCCTATGTGTGCCATGGCAGTGGCCAGAGGCAACAGTCTCCCCAGGGCTGCTGGGGAGGTTTGCCTGGTGCAGCTCGACTTGTGTAGCTGCAAGTGTGGTATATATACTGCTGTAAAACTGAGTTAACAAGAAAGTGGGCTGGTTGTAGAGGAGGTGTCACACTTGCTTCAGAGACAATGTGCTCCAATGCAACTGCCAGGTGTTTCAGTGATACTCTCTATGTCCCAGGGCTGGGATGTCCCAGGGCAGTCATGTCCAAGGCATTGGAATCTTAATCCACTGAATTCAAAAACAAAATTAACCCTGACTTCAAAGTAACTTATAACATTTTCATCATCCACTGGATATAAACATCCTTTATTTGCAGAAGAGTAAATAGAAGTACGGATCTTTATGTGTTTAATGCCAAATATACTTAGCAAGAAAGTGACAGTGATACATGTTGCTCTATTTTTAATATGTCCCATTACCACATGTCTTTCTTCTGTCAGGCACTAATTCTTAAGTCACCTGTTACGGAGGAAATAAATTTCTAGAATTTTTTTTAACCTGCAAAGATCAATTCAATTATTGTTTTTCAGCTACATTATTATCAATTCAAACAACAGAGAGCTCTAGAAAGTGTTTAACCCAAATTGTTTCCCTTGAGAAAAAATAAATAAATAAATAAATAATAAAAATAAAAAGATCCTACAAATAGATACCACAATTGTTTTTTGAAATGGATGGTGCTCTGAAGGTGGAAATTAGGAGAAAATAATGTGGCAAATACATGTTTTAATTTGTATTTCTTATTTTTATTTTAGCAGTTGAAGTTAGACAGAAGGTTACCCCACTGCTAAATGAACACTAAATAAACACTAAATACTGTATACGAGCATTGCTTAGGAAAACTGAAATTCTGATATACAGAAAACAATTTAATGATTAAAGATAAAAACTGCATGTTCCACAGACAGCAAGTGGACAGATGGATGGAAGGCTTGGACGAGCTGTTTGATGGCCTCCCACCATTTGTTCTGGTATGCCAACTGGTAATTATTCTGCAGAAAACTATGTAGAACCAGACTGTGTTTTGTCACATAAAATCTATACAATGACACGGATCATAAACAATTCTGTATGCACATCTACATTGGATTTCTGAAAGAAATGACGTAATGACATGTCATTGTAATTTTGAAGATAACAGAAGCATAATTGTATATAGTAATGTGGTTACATCTGGTACTGCCACATGTGCAAAATCAGAAGACATGACCATGCCAACTGAAAAAATAATGCTGAAATATATCAATAGTCTATATTACTTTGCCCAAATATACTTGCAGTTACAATTTCAGCTATGGCCCTTTTGTGTCACAGTGCTAAAATTCACAGTCCTGATACTGAACTATGTTTTCAGTCAGCTAGTAATTTTTTAGCTACATTTTCTTGTGACAGAAGAAAATTGTGTATTCCAGTTGGGTTTAGCTGAAGGTCAGCTACAGTTCAGTGCAATAGTCCTATCTATGCAATCTGTTGAATCATTATCATGATTTCCTTTGCTGATATTGATTCCAGCTCATCAGAAGTCATATGGAGGTAGTGAAGAGTGCTGATGACCAGTTTGGTTACCAACAAATGATCCAAACTGTCACTGAATTTGAGTATTTCTGATGAGATAAATAGGGCTCCACCATGCACATTTTAAAGCAATAGCTAAATTTATAGGGTAAATTAGGTAGAGCAATCCCTTTTTGACAATAACAAATTATTTTCTTGTGGCACAATGGCTTCCAGCTCCTCCTGTTTGTTGCCTTTGCTGTGTGCATCGGCATAGATGCACTTCAGCTGGGTTAGAGATCCTGTCACCTTTTGGTGGGGGAGAAGCCCTAATTGCTATGTGACCGTTCTCAGACACTTCCATGATTTCTAACCCATCAATATCCCTTGTGCCTTTGCTGCTTGATGGCTCTCCTTCTGCTACCTCCACTGGTATGGCAGACTGAAGGACCTTGCCAGCACGCTGTCCCACAAACACTGACATACCACCTTCAGGCTTAACTCCATAAAGTCTGGTTTTATACCTTCCCCTTTCAAAACTAGTTTAAAGCTATTTCAATGAGCTCTGCTAACTCCTACACAAAAATCCTTTTCCTCCTTTGAGACAGGTGTACCTTGTCTGTTGTCAGCACGCCTGGTGTCATGTAAAATGACCCCTGATTTAAAAAAAATATCAAAGTCCTGCCTGCAACACCAGATATTGATCTGCTGGCTCTTTCTGTTTCTCCCCTCACCATTCCTTGCAACTGGAGGGATAGAAGAGAACATTACTTGTACTCCGGATCCCTCAACCAGTTGTTGCAAGGCCCTGAAGTCTCCCTTGATTGTTGTTGGACTTCTTTTCAAACTTCATTGATGCCTGCCTGAAATAAACATAATGGGTAATATTCTGAGGACTGCACCAAGGTAGGAAGCTTTCTTTCTGTATCTCTAAACTGTGCCCCAGCAAGGCAGCTACCTTCCCTATTTAGTGGGTCCATTAATTGGGCCTTCTGCTCCCTTCAGAAGGGAGTCTCCTATCACAGTAACACCTCCACCCCCCATTTTTTTTTTCATCTTCGTTGACACAGTTTTGATGAAGGCCATAGGCTGACTTAACCTCAGTAATGTCTCCAAGCCAGATGAACCATCATCCTCCTCATAATTATTCTGTTTCACATGCAGGGCCACATAACTATTGTGTGAGGACACCTGGGAAGGTGGGGTATTCACTGAGGAGACACATCTGGTGTGCTGGGCAGTTACTTGTCACCATTGCCCCTTATTCTTAGAGTCAGTGCGTTCAGTCAGGTGGAGAGATGACAGAGAATCCTCCATATTATGCATCTGCCTGTTGGGCCTGTCTCAGGGAAGGCAGGGAGTGATTCCAGTACTCTGTCACCCTCTTGCCCTCCCTGATCCTCTTCATCCTAGTCACCTCCTTTCAGAGCTCTGTCACTAGGTGGAGGAGTGCCTCCACCCAGGTGCACCACCCACAGGTGTGCTCATTTCTGCCATCTGGTGCTGGCATAAGAGCAGGGCACACCATATACCCTAGCACCTGGGTGATAACATGCTTCTACTAGTGCTCTGTCTGGGAAGCTGCAGTAGTTGTGGTGAATGCAGAGATCAGAGAGCCTGTGGTTTTCTGCTGGGTAGATACCCTCACTCCCTGGTCAAGCTATCAAAGCTTTAGCACCTTTGCTGTTGTGTGAAGGTTTCAAGATGGAAATAATGTTGATAATGCACTGTCTTAGTTGTTGCTGAGCTGTGCTTACCCTAAGTCAAGGACTTTTCAACTTATTGTGCTGCCCTGCCAGCAATGTGGCTGGGAGTGCACAAGAAGCTGGGATGGAGTTCAACCAGAACAGCTGACCCAAACAGATCTAGGGGATATCCCATGTCATGTTCAGCAATAAAACTGGGGACAGTTGGCTGGACATCAGTTGGCTGATGGTGTGCAATTTCATTGTGCATTGCTTGTTTTTTAAATGTTTTTCTTTCTTTTTTTAATTAACTACCCCTTATCTCAACTGCCAAGTTCTCACATTTTTTACCTCTGTCAGCTCTCTCCACTATCCTGCATGGAGGGTGGTGGTGAGTCAATGGCTGTGTGATGCTTAGCTGCCTGCCAGATTAAGACACAGCACATAGTTAAGTGCAAAACCATAACTATTAGTCTCATGTTAGTCTAAGAATTGTCTAAGTGCTTTTCTACTGGTCAGAACTACTTAGAGGATAAAACATTTTTTTTTTCTCTTTAATTTAATATACCCATGTATTTTAAGAGGTAATTCTGCTTACTAGTCAGATGACTGTCTATATACACAGTGGAGGTGATCAGAAATTGCAGAATTGCACAGCTACTTTTTCCACATGGACGTTTGTTATATTGAACTGCATTCTGAATGCAGTACTTCATGATGGGTTTTAATATGAAAAACACATACCGAGAGACTTGCTGAAAAGTTAAGAGAAAAATAGGTGCCTGTAATTTTCTTAAAAAGTTTAGTTAGCTAGTCTGATTCTGGCTCTGTTAGAGAAGCAGCAATGTGAGTTGCAAGTAATGCATTACTCACATGAGTAATTTCAACCACAAAGCTGTATTCTTTTCACAAATTAAGAAAAGCTACAGGTTGAGCAATTCATAGTCTTTTGCTTATTGACTTTCACCTCCTCTTCAGTTTAGGAGCTATTTTCTATGTAGTCGGCTTAAAATATTTCCCTTACTGTTGTTGTTTTTTGTTGTTGTTGTTGTTGTTTTTCTGCTAAATATATTTTTTCTGAGTTTGGGATGCAGCTTTTCTGTCAACAGTCCATCATAAAAGCTACAGATTTTTAATCTAACCTGATGTAATTGGATAGATGGGTCATCTTGCAGATTTGCTTTCTTAACAGATAGTCTAGACATGCAATCGCACGTGTCCTGAATAACTGAGTTTTAAATTAAAAACTTTCCTAGTCAAATATTTTGCATGAGGTATATTAGCCATTACTTTCAACTGTTAAAGCCTGTTATTGTTCAGGCCATTTTCTATTTATTTTATTTTTTTGGCAGAATTGAAAAAGATCGTAGAATGAGTCAACAGAAACTCATTCTTGAAATGATTGGCTGAAAAGGGAGACTTTCAATGAAAGTTCCTCTGTAATCTTATCTATAGCACTATAAAATTCAATCTTTGAATAAGGAGCTGGTAAAACTGTGGTCTCCAGGCAGTAAATTAAGTCACTAGAACCTTAAATAGATTACTTATAGGAAACTAACTAAGGAAGCAAATGTCTTCAGGCACAAGATGGAAAGGCCTTACCCTGGATCAGACACATCTTACAGAAGTATTTGGTGCCAGAAGATAATTTAATCTATTAAAAAGCAGTAAGTCAAAGCAGTTACAAGGTACAGGAAGGTATTGCATGATATAAATAATTGAAAATAAATTACTTCTGTAGTATATATCAGACTTATCAGACTTCAAACATTTTTAACAGGTAAAACTGAAGAAGGTTATTTCTTTTCTGCCAAGAAGATTGAAAATGCATGATTTGATGGCAGGAATAATAATAAAAATGTGGTCCTGCAGAAAACAATGCCCATAGATACAGAGATGTGGGAATTACCAGCATCTCTGACTTTATAAAGAAGGAGCAGTGTGAGAGAGACTTGTGAATGCTGGACGTGGACAAAACTGTGGCTCTACGTTCTTTAATAAAGAGAGGGCAATTGGATGAAGCAGATGAATTATGAAATATAGAACTATTTCAAGTGATAAAATCCTTGTTTTAAACTTGTTTGGAGGGTTTAAAATAGATGTGCCCTGTAATATAAATGGAGTCATTCATGCATATTTGACATTTTAAACTCCAGCAGCACAAAACAGGGGTTATTGATACATCAATAAGAGTAGGTTCTTTGTTGCTTGCCCAATAATTGTGTTTTACATTGTTATTTCTTGGATTTATTATAAATTTTATAATTGTATTTGACTTATGACATCAGCACAATTAATCTTTCTAGGATCTTGAAAGATAATTATATATGTCTATCTGCCAAGAATAACATTAGAACATCAAAAGTAGTAAAGTTAACTGTTTTTTCAAATTGAGTTTTCCTTATTTCTTGAAAGTTGGGCAAAATTTTTGACATTACATTTCTAACTACTGCTGGACTGTGTTAAGCCACCGTATTCAGCATACTGTCTGTATCTTCAGACATTCATTATTAGTCAGAGAAATGCTTGAAATGCCTCAAAAGATGTACAATGGTCAAGGGGGTCAGAAGTTCAGATAGTCACTCAGGCCTTTGTTCTCCTTCTTCCCATTTATATACTGAGTGTACTGGGGAGCTTTTGATTGCCTTCAAAAAGAACTGGCAGAAATGCCCTCACAAACCAGACAGACCTTCCCTGTTTTCCAGGGTATGTATTCCCCTCCACCCCTCCTGATCTGTCCTCGGCTTTGCTGACCTCTACAAGGCACACTTGTAGATGGCAACTGATGCTTATCCTCATGCTGCTTTTTCTCCTGTGCCTGAATCATTACTCCGAAGAAACCTATGATGAGGTTTCAGCAGTTTTAACAGCCTCAGGTGGACCAGGTCAGTACTAAAGCTTATGCTACAGAATATTTGCCCAGAACTGAATTCACCATTATACACATTTCCCCTCTATTGCTCCATGGGGAGCCACAACAAAGCTGCCTCAGGCCTTGAGAGAGCAAAGAGTTCTTTTTGGAGGTGAATGGGAGCTAGGTCAGGTCTGATTTGTAAATTAAATGAAGTCAGCAGACAGTTCAGCTGAAAGTCAGATGAAACCTGTAACCGGGTAAGTAGGATACCAACAAGAGTGTAACAATGTGAATGAGACACTTGTAGTGGCTTCACCTGATACCAGTTTCTAGTTCCTGCTGCCACCTGTCCCTCTCTTTGAGTGGGATTTGCAGTCCTCGCTGTAATGAAGGCTTTTAAAGAGTGAGCATTCTGTCTGCACTCATGAAATATCTTTCAGCAACTATTAATTAAACTGCATGGTAAATCCTTCATTGTTAGTCCTCGGAGATAAATAGTATAGGGAGCTGAAATGAAAGTCTGACTTGGGAGTAAATTTAAAAAATAAGAGGAGGAAACTTCAGTTTGAACTATACAGGATTCCAGAATAAATTTATCGGTGTTTTAGGCTGCTTCTTCTCCATGTAAGAATGAATTAAACTTCATTCCTTAAAGTACAGTTTTATGTAATATTGGATCTATCTGAAAATGCGGGAAAGACACGAAAGACTTTGTAAAATTGTTCTTCAATTTGTCTAAATTGCAACCAGTCTTAGAGCTGGTCAGATAATACAAATAGGGGGCAGGGGTTGCAAAAAGTGATATTTTCATTTATTTTTTCCTAAACCAATTAAGTTTCAAAGCTTTTACCACACACTGAAGTGTGACAGCCATTTGTTTTTAATGGCTAAGACTCAGATGATGCCTGGAGCTTGCAGCAAACTTCTGTGTCATGTTCCCTTCTGTTGCTTTGCAGTTGTATTCTCCGTAGCTTCACAGTCACCTCTTGTACTCAAAGTGTATGGTAAAGAAAACTTTTCCTTAGTTTCCATCTCATTATCCTCCTCTTCTCAGCATCCTTTCTGGCCTGGCCACACATCGAGGAAGACCGTGCTTTTATTTCACAGGGAACAACTTCAACAAGTTTAGGAGGAAGCTAGATACCAAAATGCTTAGCTCAGCCAAGGAAGAAAAAATTCACTTATATTATGTACATGCAATTCAGTGGTTCTTGAGACAAGAGTCTGGGTACCAGTCAGAGACTTGCAGGCTAAGCAACTAGTTAAGTTTGGTTCATATTAATGTTGCATGCTTAAGATCTACCTAAGAAGAAATGCAAGTGCAAACTTCTCCAGAAGAATGGACAGTGCTCTTCTCACAGGGCCTCTGCTCCAGCCCTGACCAGCTCAGGACCCTGCTGAACTTGCATCTGTTTGTTCATGCTTTGTGTGAAGAGGGGCCCAAAACTGGACATTGTATCCAGACATGGTCTCATGAGTAAGGTAAAGGGAGATATTTCCATGCCTTCATGGACAGGCCATGTTCCTACACCTGGGAGCTGCCAGTTCACACCTGGTTGATGGGACTCCAGGGCTCTAGCACAGGTAGGTATTTCCTTATGGTTTTCAAAGGAAATAGTAATTTACTGTAAACATATGATTGCATATTTCCTCAAAAACATATGAAAATTAGAGTGGGGTCTGGGAGGAAGTGTTATTTGTCCACCACAGAAGAGATCACAGAAATAAACATGTTTTGTGCAACTTTTTAACGAAAGGATGCTGCCTCCTCATGGTGGGATTGATTCCCTGAGCAGTAAGCTCTTCCCAAGCAGACCAGCTGAAGGATGGTATCCCCATAAGGCAGTGTTTGCAGTTCAGACATACAGTTTATCTTCCACCCACTGTGTTTTCTATAAACACTAAACAGTTTGAGCAAGACTGAATTTCTTTTCATGGCTATTGACACCCTGCTGTATTGCAGTGGTTTAGAGGTGATTTTGCATTCAAGTGTGAGTCTATACCTGAGAGGAAGTTGATTTTCCCTGATTGTCTTATGGAGGAAGAAGAATGCCAAATCATTTGGTCACAACTCAGTCCCTGCAGTGCATTTGGGACAGCAAATTACGTACTGCTTCCTTATCTAGAATTTATTTTGAGGATGTAAGTCCCAGTAGTAGGCAAATATGGGCAATGCCTATCACAGCTATTGGAAGGGCTAAGGACTGCAGAATCAAGTCCAAATTGAATGACACACTTGCAACAGATTCCCATTACAATAAAAATAAAATAAAAGACACAGCTAAAAAAGAAAAAGGGGGGGGGGGGGGGGGGGGGGGAGACGGCGAGGAAGAAGATAGTCATATCTGCTGTAATTCCAGATTTATCCTTGTGTTAATCAAATCTGATATTAAGGTGGCTGAAGAAGCATAAATTCACTAAAAGAAATTGGGAGAAAACAAACACACTCTGTGACATTTACTTTTCAATTGCTCATGATTTTGAGTTGAGATTATCACTGGAAAAACAAAAACAGTAATTTTTTGGATATAGCGGAAAATCCTGACACAGTGCTGGAACAGAAGATTGTAAAACCAACCAATTTTCTTGCCTTGTTAAAGAATAAACAATTATACAATGATTCTTCAAGCCAGTCCATAAATCAGATTTTAGAAAATTAAAACTGTAGTCAAGTATATAGTATAAATACAGTTACCATGGTAATCCACTAAGCAGCTCCCATTTGCCCTGAAAGTAATTCATTCATATGATATGTGTCTTAACATCAGCTTTCAGGAATACTTCATATTGGTCTACAGAATATATTGTATTGTTAATTGAAAATTCTCTTGTTACTAACATTAAATTTCTATTTTATATTGTAATAAACCCATATAAAAAGGTACAATGCTAGGCTAGATTACTGCTATGAGAGAAGCTGGTCTCTCATAGGTATCTCTATAGGTTGCTTTGCAAGCTGAAAAGCATTTATTAGTCTGCACCTTTGAGAGCTGGGAATGCACAACATGCTGCTTGCTAGCTGCTAGGTCAAGTATCACTGAGGTGATGTTCAATGCAGAAAAATAGAGATCATCAAGATTTTAATACTAAATTGGTGGTTGTGTGGTTTCCTACTGGTTATCTGTACAGTTTAATTTAAAAATGAAATGTTAGAACTCCTCACTCAACATCACACCACTGCTGTGCTACTTGAGGAAATTTTGTTTCTATGGTAACTGCTTAAGACTTTTTCACAAGCATTGATGTCATCAACAGACTAAATTTAATTACAGTATATGCAAACCATTGAACCGTTGATTTCTTTCATGATATTATCTGGAACCATAATGTAACAGTTACAATCACAGTGAGTTTTTTAGCACACTAAATAAACATGTTCAGAGGGGCAGCTATAGGTATATTTCCCAAAATATACATAAATAGAAAATCTTTTGAGAGGAACATATTAATTGGCTCTCTCCACTGGCAGGTGACCAGTTCCATTTTAGGTACACTTCAGGAGTGCAGGAACAGAGCAGTTCTGCCACCACCTCCGAGCCAGCAATCAGATGACGATAGTGGAGAACTTCAGGGACTGGCAGACCCATTCTTCAGAGCAGTGTGTTTTATAACGGCTACACAGCCTCTCAGAAAAGAAACAAGTATTATGAGAAACATTTTGTTGATGAATTGGAAGACACTAATGTTTATAATCAGTAAAAGTCAGGCCATAGTACAGTGGGATTTGTCAAAGCTTTAGACTATTTTAGTCTGTTTGTCATAAGCAAAATTCCGGATCAACAACTTCTTTCCTTCATCGAAATGAGAACCTGCAAACTATCAATCTTCATGTAAAACAAGGTTTCAAGAGAAGATAGAGACAAATGTTCTAAAGGCTCCACCTTTGATATATTTGCTTTGGTCTGGCCAGCCCTAGCCCATTAAGGATTTCCTTCTAATAAAGAGGCAGCATCTTAACACTTTCAGACTCTGATGACTGAACCTAGGACATAGGTTCAAAGTCTGGTGTACTGAGATAGGGTCTTTTAAAACTTTGACCACTGTCATAGCACCATGTTTTAATTCCATCTGCAGCTACACTAAAGCTATCATTTTTGAGGGAGTTTGACAGAGCAGTTTCCTGAATTATATATATATATTTTATAATAGTAATCAATAACTCAACATTCTTTTTCATTTGCAGACCATGGTCTAGGATAGAAATGATAGAAACTAGGATAGGAATGATAGAAACTAGGTGAGTTTCCTGTGTCAGTACTTTTTGTTTCTTGTGGCTCCTCATCCTGATATTACAGGAGAAGATGGTGTGAATAGCTACCTATAGGGAATTCCCAGTATTAAGAGAAACTACACCTTGCCTAGCAAAAACTCTTCAGTTAAATTATTAGGTGAAGCTACATCATATGAGATGTTTAGAAATACATTCACCAAACATTAACTATGGCTTCAGTGATTCCCTTGTAAGAGAAATTTTTATGTAATTGTGAGAACATCTAGATACTATAAAATCATTTTGCATTTCCAGAAACAAATGGAACAATTCCGAAATATAGTCTATAATACAGTTATAAAATTGATTGAGGTAACTCTACAAATATGAATAGTACTTACCTTTACCTGGAATCCTTATATTTAATTCATCTCACTTTTTCTTTTCTTTTGCATATTTACATTCCTTCTTGGAAATCTTTCCTCTTTGCTGAATTCTTGCCATACCTAACAATTTTTATAGTACTCAGGATACAACACAGGTTGCAACAGGGAACCATTTTTGAGAAGGATCCCTGAACTCAGGCTAGAATGTTTGCTGAAACATATTTTAATAAAGAGCAAATATTTATAAATATGATGTTTTCTACTGTTGCCCATCTTGAAGTACCTGCAACATACCAAAAGTGATATAATTAGATAGACTAGGGTCATTTACAGCAAAGTGATGAAAAGATGTAAATATAGCAGAAGCAGATAATAAATATATATATATATAATTGTAGAGACTGGTTCCTGTGTGTATATGAAACATATTGCAAAAGAAATGAAAGAAAGCCTTAATTTTGTACACAGAGCTGATCCTGAGAGTTAATGATGAGATAATAAAGATGGAGCTATTTTGCTTCTGTTGCATTAGCTTGTAAAGGATTTATTTGCTTGCTTGGTTTTACTATCACATTGGAGGAAAAAGTGTGACAAGTACTTCCAAGAATATAGATAAAGTATTACAGGGAAGCTTTTGACAGGGAAACAACTAATAAAGAAATCATCTCAGGACAGTATTAGAGAAAAAAAAAAAAAAAAAGCTGTTGCTGATGCATTAAATTCTTGTGCATTCTGTTTTTAACAAGGTAAAATTTTCACCAGATAAAAGGAAGGAAATGGATACTTACACAGTACAGCTGGAAACTCTAGTACTATTATGTAACTTGGAAAATATATGAGACTCCTATTAAGATGCCAGGATATGTGATTTTAGCTTCTGTGAGAAATGAAGACACAGATCCCTGCAGAAACACCTCCAAATAACAAAGGCAGCTGTATTGTCCATAGGACAGGTTAAACCTATAGCAGCCTGTAAAACAGAGCAAATACACAGGACTGTCCACAGAGCAGGGCAGAAGCAATAACCAATAATGTCCAGTCTTTGGTGTGAGGAGACTCAGTTACCACAAGCTGTCGTGCTGCTATCTTTGGGATAAAGGCAAAAACAGTAACAACATGTTACAGTCAATTCAGTGTCTGAGAGTTTAAAGATGTACAGCAAAGGGGAGAATGTCCACAGAACAATGTTATTAGGCACACAGGTTCTCAACATGCCCACAGCAAGGGGGGCTGCCTGCCATTTGCCCACCATTGCTGTAGCGCTGACTTAGAACAATGACTCCTTTGATTTACACTGGGTTGTGGAGCCAGCTGCAAAGCGATGCTAGCCCTGTAGCCTGCCACAGTTTCAGACTGAAGAAACGAAGCCAGGTGTTAATGGTGCACAAAAAGCTATTCTAAAGTACTTGATAAGAAACCCAATGAACCAGATATGTTGGGGTTTGGAGTTAGTATAGTTTTGTTACAACAGCTATGAAAAATAAAGCAAAAGGGTAGTAACTTCAGAAACTAGAGGAAAAAATCTAGGTCATAAGAAATAGACCTGGAGGAGGCATCAAAAATACACAGTTAGAAAGGTAAATATATTTGCAGCACCACTGCAAACATTTTTGTCAGGACAGCAGGTTAGCTTTTACAACATGGAATTGATCTTTAATTACTGCCCAGTTCACAATTGTCACAATATGCATATTGTAGACAGTTTTGTGTACAGCAAAAGAAACCTTACTGCAACACTGTGAATCATATCTGTATTCACAGCTACTTTGAAATAAATATGAAATAATTTGGCAAAAGTCATTGTAATTATTCAAAGCTTGTGCTGCTGTCAAACAATTCATGATGTATGAGGTTTAGATCAATTTCTCCTGTCATCAAGGACAAGCTCAAGCTTTTAGAGAGAATTCCTTTATCTTTTCTCCATTATGTATGTAAAATAAAGATTAATTATGTATGTAGATTCATTCTATTCAGAGCTGGTTGAGTTATAATGTATTTTAATACACACAGAAAGAGTGGGTCAAATTCACCTGCACTTTGGTGGGGTCAGATGGTTATAAACGAGAACAGAAGCTGGCCCAGCAGGTAGCTTAGATCAGTATTTACGACATCCTAATTTACCCTGTTCACGCTAAGGCTGCATTGCAGCCTCTTGAAAGTTACACCCTTCAAGTAATTACAACCCCAGAAAGTCTCTTACCCATCTAATTTATACACGCTTTTTCCTATTGGCTTCAATAGTGCCAATAAAATCTTGTCTCCACTGTGCAAAACAGCACAGCTTCGAGCTTGGCCTGCTGCCAGCACAGGGAAGACTCATTAGCTGGGCTGCAGCATCAGCCCGATACAGCTCTGCTGCTCCTGGCCCAGCTTCGCAGCTCAGAAGAGCCTTGCCCTGCTCCCTGCAGACAGCTCAGCTTGGTTAGCAAATCCCAAGCCCACCACTGCTCCAGGGCTTGAAGAGAAGGCTTAAGCTTGTTGCAAAGTATCCAGATCCAAAGATTCAGCCAGGGTTGTTTCTGAATTGATTTATGCCTTGCGTATATTTGTTTTCATGTAATGGCATCCATGCATTTTCTGTCTTCGATTAAGCATAATTAGCAGATGAATTCATGTATGACAATATGATTGTTTAGCTTTGAAGCCTACAATTGTGGCAGTCCTCATATGCATTTAATCTTCAGCACTCTGTAAAGTACATCACTAATAGTTAGGAATGGTTCGTTTTGTCACAGAGGCCTGTCTTCAAGTGTCTGTTTTTATCTTAGTGTGGGACTGGAAGGAATCCAGGATGCTTCTTGTTAATTACTAAACGAATTTGTTTAAAGTTAGCACCAGTCTTTCTTCCATGCCTATTACTTTTGTGTATTTTATAAGCAAACCCAAACTTTGGTGGACCCTGAGGATGTTTTCTTTACTCTCTGAAAGCCAGGTTGTCCTCTTTGTGCAGAAGTGGTCTAATTATGATGTATTAGAGGAAGGGTAACACCACTGCCACTTGCTAGATGTTCATTGAAAACAGTGAGTTTGTCACAGATACTTTATGTTCAGGGAATGGCTTCCAGTGCTAATCCCCATTTTGTCTCAAACAAAGATGGTGATCCCAGCTGTGTCCAAGTGATGGCTCTGTTTCATCCCACCAGAGGCATGAAAACCAGGACTAGGTATTCCAGACCCCTGATCAGATGAATACCTTCTTTTGTGGGTGTGGGTCCTTGTGCTTCTCGGAGTAGTTTGCTGATACTATAGTCCAGTATCTCTTTACATCTGTCACTACAGAAAATACTGAAGTGTGATGGGATCATTTCTTAATCCTCTGCACAATTCAGCACTCCTCTGAAAGAGTGTGTTTTCTTGATTTAGCTGTGTAAGTCTATGATCCCTAGATGAGACAATAACACACCTTACTGCATAATAAATTCCAATGATTTGTTAAAATCAGAAATTTATTAAAATGTGAAAAACTATTACATTTATGCAAGCACTTTGATTAGTTTCATTTGATATGTGTTTTTTTTCAGGCTTCCTCCTCATATTGTCTAGAGAAACACAGAGAAAACAAGAAAATACTGTATTAGAGTACATTACATGCAAGAAATGAGTACTTACAGAAGTGATTATAAGAACAAAAGGAGGAGCAGCAGAGGTCTTCTACATATTGCCTGAAACACTACCCAGAGTGCAATTTGAATGGCAAAAAAATGCATAATCAAAGAATATGTTCTTTACTCACTATAACCATATTATTTCCTATCACTTTAGCTGCGTTTACCCACATGTTCTATTTTTACTGAGATTCCTTGTAATTGAAATTCATATCATCTATGTAATTTTTAAAGATGATGACTGCTATTGTAGTGAATGAGACATAATGGTATATGCTCAAGTTTTATACTGCACTAATGCTACATTTCATTAATAAATGAATTACTTCATTGGAAATAACCTCTGCAGTTTCAATGAAAATGCAGGTGATGTGATTCCAGGACATTTGAATCATCAGCTATGCAACAGTTACTGTTATTCATTAGAGAGCATCTACAAGTAGTTACAGATGTAAACTGGCAAAATAAATAAATAAATTCTATGATATTAACTATCTGCTGTCATGCAGGCTGTGTCACTTACCACACACAAAGCAAAGTAGGATATACTTTTCTATAAAAGCCATTTTTGCCTTTTCTTGAAATAGTGGTTTCCCACATACATGAGGTTAGCCTTGTGGCTAACAGGGAGCTCCATCCATGCAAGCTGCAGCAAAGCCCATGAGCAGTGTTGACACAAGGCTTGTTTGCGGGAGCCCAGAAAGTGCTGGCTAAAGCTGTGTCTGTCATCCAGCTAGAGAACATTTCGCTCCAGGATCCAAGAATGACTGTAAACATAGCTATGAGTTTACTAAGAGTGCAACCAGTCTCTTAAGCATTTTCATTGTTTCTTTAGGCATATATCAGTGAGTGGATTATCAAAATGCTAAGTTGGTGGTTTTACAAACAAGTGATAAATCAACACTGAATATATTATTTTTTTAACAGTTAACTTTTCATCCAGTCCAAAGTCCAGCTGGAACTTTGGCTGCAGTCTCTCTAAATAATATGAAATAGCCCACACATTTGCAGGTGGGGACTTTTGAGACACTACAGGGTATCCAAAACATCTGTACGAGGCCTACAATGATGGCAGGGAACTCATAGAAGACACACACCCTCCTGGGGTGGCAGATGGAGGCCAGGGTATGTATCTCAAACTGACCTCCAGTAACTATCGGGGAAGTGAGTGGGTAGGAAGCATCTTCCTGCTTAGAGCAGCATCCCCAGCAGTTAACAAGCAGAGCAGTAGAAATAATACCAAAACCCCCACAGAGGGAATACAGTGTTTCTTGCTGATTTACACCAGTATGAAAGTGAACAGCTGTAGATCTACTCTTTCCTGAAGGTTCTTAGGAAAGGTTGAAGACTCCCTTCTCTGCCACTCCACTCTATGAAGAATTCAATATCTTCTGCTAGCACCAGTTTTGAGTTATCCTAAGATGCAGCAATTCACAGGTAGGGGTGAGATAGCTTCCAGGTAGGCACTCCTTTTACCTGTCAGACCTCTGAGCTTCTCTGGGGTATGTACAGCTGTAGCCTGTGCTGTTCAGGATGTGCTTCATACGGCTTCACTTACTTTTCCAGCAAATGAGTGAAAATCATTCAGCCTCCTACCCCTAATCTTTCTCTTTCAGCAGCTCATCCTCTTCAGTCATGCTCAAGTTGCAGAGGCCAGAGATGGAAAGTGTTAATTTTCTGGGCATCTTATTTACAGATTCAGTGCAGAAATGCCATTCTACTGAAAATTGTTTCTGAGTTGTTTGTGTTTTTTAGAGTTTTTTTGTTAACTATCACCCAAGTGCTGTGAGGTTGCAAGCTATCTATTAGAAGAGAAAAATGCTGACAGATATAATTAGCTCTAGTCTGTTTGGATGCTTTGTACAGAATTTGGAAAAAGAGCATCAAACAGCAGCATTTTACAGAGGTAATCCTCTGTGCTTATGAACTATTTCTTACTAGGTGTGAGTCTATTCCCCTTACATGTTTGCAGACAAATCTACTGCAATAATGAAGATTATTGGTTTTCTGTCTAACTAAAGAGGATTATTTTCTTTTTAAACCACTATAGTCAGCCTGACTGGCTTCAATTTTGCAGTTAATGTGGGTCACAGCGCTTGTCTTTCCCTTTCAACATTGCTGTCTTTATTTGCACAGTTAATCACTGTTTTAAAACTATTTCATTATTTTAGAAGGCTTACACTCTACCATGCATATATTTCCTGTTTCTTTAGCTTTGAAGAGGGGAGAAGAGAGTCCTCAGGCCTGGCCTACCAGTGCCAATGACCAGTCATTCTCAAGAAATCCTCTGGCACATTCCCATTCCTTCTGCCATATCTCCAAGTACAACAGTGCTGAGATATCTAGAGAAAATAGGGATTCAACAGGTGGGATTCAGCTCCAGTTTCATCCTGTAGGTGTCTGCTCTGAACAAAGTGCCTAAGCCTCCTTTACAGCTTGTGAAGACCTAGGATTCAATTCAGTTGCCTAAACATCAGTTTACATTTGAGACACCAGGGGATAGACACAGTGTTTTCGTGGTGTGACGCTGGACCTATGGGCAACCTCTTGGAGAGGCATTTAGAAACCACATGGGGTACCCCAAAACTCAAATGGCAATAGATGCTTTAAACCACCATTAACTCCTCAAGGAGACTTAGACATATTGTTCCAATACAGTCTCCAGGACTGTAAACACATTTAGATCAATCTGAAAGCCATTCAAACTTACTAATGAAAAGACAGGAAAAAAAAAAAGCATTTAAAAAAACTCAGCGCAGAAAAGACACACTACTTTACTGATGACAATTCTTTTCATTTTGTTACTGTTATCGTTAATGCTCTGTATTTTTAAAAAACAGTGAAAGGAAGAAAGAAAAAGAGAAGAAAGAATGTGTCCACCAGACTCATGGTGAAATGGAAGAGAGTGAAGAGCTCACCAAGCCATCTTCAAAAAGCTTGGTATGTCTTCACGGCAAGTACGGCGCTACATAGATATATTAATTAGTGTTCCAGCATTGATACAAATACATATTTCTAACAATAGTCATGACCCTAACCTGTTACTAAACATTAATCTGAGGTTCTCTGCACTGTGGTAAATTGTTTTGTGTGGACTAATCCTAAAATACAGTCAAACAAACAAACAAAACCTCCTCTGCACTAAGGTTTATGATTTCATGATGTAAAAGGAAATGAGAGGTACAATATTTTTTTATAGCTTATTTTGAACATTTGACTAAAAGTCCTTGTATACATTCTGCCCTTAAGCTCAATGAATTTGAATTGCAACTGTGAAAATTCAGACAGACCTTGATTGAATAAAAAATGAATAAAAATTCAGTACATACTTTCACTTATTAATGCTTTCCATGCACTTTCCATTAGTGTTCAAGTGCATGTTCAAAAAATCCTCTAGACTTTTAAATGATTTCTACATAAGTTGGTAGATAAGAGAAATAATTGTGAAGAATTTTACAAAGCTCTTAGGCTTTATTCATATGAATTTGAAGCCTGTGTTTATAACTGAAGAAGACAAACGACAAATCACAGACACGACACAGATTCTACATCCCTCATTTCTAGGCATGCATATTATGCATATTGACATCATTTAGCAAATCTTCATCATGTTTACTACTGTATAGCTTCAGATTAGTCCATTAACCTTATGCTTACTGTGGAATGATTTATGATACACCCCCTTCCTTCACAAAATGAAAGACCGCATTTAAAAAATAATAATAAATAATAATAAATAAATAATAAATAAATAATAAATAAATAAATAAAACAGATACCACTGAGTCATGTTCATGTTGCAATCCTCTGTGCCCTAAGCACTAAGAACAGTCATTACAGCAAAATGTGTGGAACTCCTCTTGCAGTAAAGCCATGCAGGCTGTGGCCTTAGTGATTTGCATCCAATCTTTTAATACAGAGATACATGGATACATGGGAGGAACAACCCTATGCACCAGGATATCCTAGGGACCACCCAATTGAAAAGCAGTTCTGCAGGAAAGGACCCAAGAGTCCTGTTTGACACCAAGTTGAACATGAATCAGCAATGTGCCCTTGCTGCTAAGAAGGCTTAATGATATTCTTGGCTGCATTAGGCAAAGTATCACCAGCATGTCAAGAAGGTGAGCCTTCCCCTCTACTTAGCATCAGTGTTCAGTTCTGCCACCCACCCACGCCTCTGTAAGACTGACAGTGACTGTTCTTTGATTTGAAAGACAGCTACTACAATTCAACCCTGTGTTTGAACTCTAAAACATAGATGTCTCTGTGTAAGTGTATACTGTCTCTGAGATAGTCAGTGGAGACAGGAGAGCCAGGGCACTACCCAGTAACTTAAACATATGTTCTAAGACATCTAGATGGCTAATGTCATTTCAGACATCCTAGAGTATCCAGAACAACACATGGGTGGCATATATTACAGTGGTAAAGAGACCTCTTCCCCTCAGCCAAAGGAGACAGGCTGAAAAGTTTCACGCATCATACTCAGCCCTGAGGCTGTCAGCTGACCAACAGATTCAATATTGTCCGTATGTAAAAATTCCTTATAAGGAGGGTTTTTATCTTCTGAGAAGTTCAGCTTTGAGTTCCCAAACGCAACTAACAGGCCCTGAAATACTGTAATATTTTTCTTCTATTCTGTTTGTCTTTTCTTAGGTTCTGCAGGGAAGCTCTGACTGATCACTTGGTCATTGTACCTGTAAATTAATGTCTGTTTTGGCCATGGTCCAGAGAAGCACTTAAGCATGTGCTTAAGTTCTTACTTTCTTATATAGAGATGGCAACATGCCATTAATGATATTCTGTGCTCTCTATATATGAAAGCTGCCCTAAAGGAGTAAGGCACTTTAAACCCACAGTCCTGAGGTGCAGTCAGGGAGCAATCACCATGGATAGGGTAGGATTTAATCTTTTTATTCCCTTGATTCCAAAGGTGTGTGGATACCACTGTGATCCTCAAACAATAAAGATACAGGAGTGGCACAGTTGTAAACCATCATAAAATATTGTTTTCTAACAGTCTCTACAGT